ATATGCTGAGAAAGCTGGAATTGTTCAGCTTCAAGAAGGAAGTACTCAGAAAGATGATACCAAAATGTATAAATACTTATAAAGAAGACAGACCCAAACTCTTCTCAGTGATATCCAGTGACAGGACAAAATACAGTGATACAGTGGGCACAAATTAAAATATAGAAGATTCCAATTAAACTAAGAAAAAAAATCACTGTGAGGGTGACCAAACACTGGAACAAGTTGCCCAAAAATGTTGTGGAGTCTCCATTCTTAGGGATATTCAAAAACTAACTGGACAAGGTCCTGAGCAATTGGCTCTAGTTGATTATGATTTGAGCAGGGGGTTTGGACTGGAGATTTCTGGAGGTCCTTTCCAGCTATTCTATGATTCTGTTATTCTTTTCCTTATTCAGCCTTCTAAAACTAAAAATGAAAATTATCCCGCTTTCTGTGACACTTAGTTTCTTTGTCTACCTCCTGAATTCTCTCCCTAGCCCAGTGGCTGGCACACAGGAAAACAGTGTGGTGGGTGCCTATGAAAAGAAACAGGAATAAAGAGACCCCCTTAGCTTGGTCTCAGCAATCCTCCTGTCTCCTCACACCATCGATATCGCCGTTCCTACCAAGAATGCATCAGCAAGAGGCATAGCTAAGGACCAGTGAGTAGAAGGGGTCCAGGAAAATGATGACAAAGAGTCTCAGAAAGTCAGCCTACAGCAGCATCTGCCTCCCAACCCTCTGCCAGGGATCTGGGGATGTGGCTCTGCCACCCCAAGAGCGGACAGTCAAGGAGTTACTACCTCACCTGCAACCAGAACATCCTCAGCTGTGGGTTTGTCCTTTACTACCACCAAAATCCCAGTGCTTCCTTGCACACTGCTGCTAAGGTTGTATACCTCCTAAGAAATTCCCGTTGGTGGAGAGATCCAGACCACTGTCCACCTCTTCAGCAAGACCTGCACATCAACACCTCACAGATGGTCCTTCTCACTGTCATGTCCTTGGTTTCTCCAGTGTCGTACCACTGACTGCTGGCGAGAATCTTTAGTTGCAGTCAGGGGTCTGGCTGCCACTTGCAAAATTAATGATCTCTTGTCCTTACTGCTGGGTTAAACTCTACATCCCTTCCTATTCCTCTTTCTCTCTTCCTAAACATGTTCTTCAGAGAAAAGGGTGGCCCTTGTACCTCCCACATGCCTGGCTGCAGTAGACATCATCCTTAGGCGCTACCTTGAAGGTACCATCACCTTTGGAGTAACTGGGGGTGGGGGAGAGTGGAACACATGCAAAACAGACCCACCAGAGGTCGGATCATGGTTATCAGCAGTACTCCCACCTGAGTACAGTTGCCGGTACAGCCAGCTTCTGCCCCCTTGCCCAAGTCCGCAGTGTCTGTGCAACCTCTCCATTGCAGCATCGCTGAGGTTCCTTGAAACCTTCTCGTGTTACCACTCTCCCTCTTTCAGGGTGCCCATCTGGTGCCTCTGTGTCTGTGGCAGGTGGGCAGTGCTGAATTAGGAGTGACACAGGAATGTCTCAATATGAAAGCCATAAAGAAGCCAAGAAGGATTGGACTCCTCAGGCATGAAGATGAGCAGGGATGAGTTGTTTTACTTCCTGTAACACAGCGGTTGCTTTAGAAGGAAGGTACAGCCAGTCCTCAATGTGCAGGAGGATGTTGACCTCACCCCGAAGCTTCTGTGGTCCTCTCTTAAGGAAGGGAAGGTACACACTGCACTCTCCCAACATGGACACAGGTTCTACCCCTCTGCCCTGCCATCAGAACTATTTGCCTGGTAGCGCCACCTGTATCGGGGCAGCATGATGCCCTGGTCACAGGGTCACAAACTTTCCCCCTCACCAAATGAAACACCTGAAAAAACAACCTTCTCCACACTGGTAGCTGTCAGGTGAATCCTTATAGAGAGCCAGGTACTCTCTTTACAAAGGGGAGAACCCTCCCATGTTTCTGCAAAAAGATTCACATCAGTGTGAATTGGTGGCCTGTGACAGGACAAGGGGTCATGAGTATAAATTAAAACACAGGAAGTTCCACCTCCATGGAACTTCTTTATTGTGCGGGTGACAGAGCCCTATAACAAGCTGCCCAGAGAGGTGGTGGAGTCTCCTTCTCTGGAGATCTTCAAACTCTGCCTGGATGTGACCCTATGCCACGTGTTCCAGGTGTCTCTAGAGGTATTTTCCAACTTCAGCCATTCTGTGATTCAATCTAGCCAGGAAGCCTAACTAGAAGTTAGTCATCTCATCTCACTAACATATCTGGTTGTGTCCTGGAAGATGGCTGTGCTAGGGCACCTTTGGTCACATATCCGACTGCTTCAGAAAATGGATTGTGGCATGCAGCATTTGCCTTTCCTCACCAAGTTTTCTCTTTTCCCTTTTCCAGCCTACCTTGTCATGACTCGTATACAAGCTGTTCCATACTTTTGGTCTCTGCGCCTTTAGCACATCTTAGTTCTGAGATGCAGAGACCAGAACTGCGCAACTCACTCAAGGTGTGGGCATGAACTTATGCCATGACATAATGATCCTCTCTCATTGTCTTTTATTCCTTTCCTAATCATTCCTAACACTTGACTCACTTTATTGGCTGCTGCTGAGGATAAAGCTGTTTTTTTTTAATGGAATTATTATAACCTGAGGCTCTGAATTCTGAGTGATGATCTTAGCCCATAATTTTATATATGAAGCTAAGAATGTATTTACCTCTATGCCACACTTGACATTTATCAGCATTAAATTCCAACTACCACACAGTTGCTCAGGCAGTCAGTCTTATAACTTTCTTCTGCACTTTTATATTCTGCTTATCTCCTTGCTACTTTGAATAACTTCACCCACCAGCAATTTTTGCTACTTACTGATTACTCTCAGTACTTTTGGGTCACTTAAGAAAGTTATGCAGTGCAAACCAACGTGGAACTCTGGTGGTGGTCATCTTTATTGAAAGAACTGACGATTTATTACTACCACTCTTTCTTATCTTTCAACTAATAAGATATCCCTACCAGAAAATTCATTTTTTTCCCTCCATTTATAACATTTGCTTACAAATATTTTAGGATATTTTGGAAATTCAAGTATCAACTATGTCATCATAATCTTCAAGTCTTCTCAACGATCCAAAGAAATGCAGGTTTTCAAGGCAGAACTTCTTTTTGCAGGCGACATGTTGATTGAGCAGCCTGTATTTCTCCCAGCATCTACTAATTTTATCTTCTATTATTATCCATACTAATTTTCTCTAGAGGCCCAGAGTTCCCCCAAACTTCATTTCAACTCATTTTAGTCTGGCATCATATTTGCCACCATGCAGTCTTGTGGCACCAGGGAAATTTTTGAGTAAGAACAGCACTGTGAGTAAGTCACGATGTTAGCAAGAACTCACGGTGTGAGTAAGAATTCTTGAGTAAGAACCAGTGTGGGTGATTTGGCTGCTTCATTCCCGAATTTGGTGAGAACCAGTCAGTTCACTACTCGTTTGGGTAACGAACCCATCTGCATATTAATCTCTTCTACACTACTCAACTTCAGACAGATCTTCTATTGAGACCCCATCCTAAAAGGGCTCCTGTGACAAGAATCCTGCCGATTTCTTCCACGGAAAACCTACCTTAGCACCCTTCTGCACCAACTGTGCGGTCTTTGAAGGCAATCACGGCCTGTGAACCGACAGGCTGGCTTGGCCCTCCCTTCGGGGCACTCGCCCCCACTTCATGTTGGCTCCCTCGGGGCACTAGACGGCGCTGGGGAAGGAGAGGAGCTGCGG